TAGTGGACGTATGCAGCGCGGGAGAGAAAACAATAGTGAGAAAAATAAGCCGTACACTATTACGCTGCAGAACACCATAATAAAATTAAATACCACATTACACCCATCCCTTCCTACAGAAAGAATGCAGATAAGAGCTGCGCAATGTGACATTTCAAAAATTATGTAAAGAGAAACTGGCACTCGCGCACGTACTTGTAAGCCACCGCCCTTAAATTCAAGCAGGTATGTTTTCCTACATCGACACAGTAAATAAGTGTTCAATCACTAACTACCTCAACAGTCAAAGCAGATAAACATACATTCTCTGCATTTTAACGCATGGCTGTCACTATGCGAAAAACATCAGTTTACTACACTAGAAAGTAAGCGTAAGGATATTATACTGTAGTTTTGCAGAGTATTGTTATTATCGGATTATTCACAACACAAATCTTGCATGTCACGCACTAACGTTACACCGAATCAGCCTGTGACATCACATGCAACAATGTCTCAAATTAACCTGGTACTCCATTAGAGAACAACACTGATTCAGTAAAGTGACCCTCTGCCTGTTATAGAAGACTGCAACCCCATAATTTTCATTTCTTACCACGTGCTTTCTGTTGTTGCAGGGCTTGCAATTCCAAAAACTTCGCCGCCTCTAAAAGCGTCTCGATACTCATCTCTTTTTCGTGTTATGGTCCAGAAAACGATTGGAGAACTGAATTAAAATGCTAACTAGTTAGATTCAAAAGCTTCTGCTCGGGATCCAATCTTGTCGTCTATAAAAAAAAAAATATAAAAAAAAGGAAAGACGTGACTGGATCCCCCTTGAAGTCACTGTTCCACACGCACGTAGAGGAGTCACAACAAGATGGCGGGTTATTCAGTCAGTCAACACATCGGGCCATTGTACAAACACTTTGGACCCGCCCCTGATTCAGTGACCACGCCCCACACGCGCTGGTTTTCAAAACACGGAGATGGCCGTTCTTCATAAAAATCGCATATTTTCATCAAATTTCGACAGAACGCGAATATTATATGGTCAGTAATATAGGTGTACTGCAACGTTTCGTATCTATTGTTAAAAAGGCCAACACATAAGGCTTAAAATGTGAATGTCAAATCCAGGTTTTACGCAATACTCCTACACATACCACGGCTCAACTTGATTAATAAAACATGAGATTAGAGCAGCCAATAGGAAAGTAGACACACAAGGCATGGTATCTGCTCACATGGGTGTCATTCTGCACGGGTTGCAAGCCAACTAAAGACGAAAACGCAACCTGCAGACAAATTCCAGCTGATTCCAAAAGGCAACGAGTATCTATAAACAGTCTGCAGTAACATAATTTGTCTGTGACCAAAACACAAAATTGAAGAAATTTTTCTATTAGAAAGAACAAAGATTCACAACAGTTCTGAACACAATATAATGACTTAAAACGATAGTTCACCCCAAAAAGAAAATTCTGTCATCATTTGGTATGTTGTACCAAACTTTTATGAGTTTCTTTCTTCTGTTTAACTAAAGATATTTTGAAGAATGTTGGTAACCTGACAGATAGCCCCCACTGACTTCCATAGTGGGAAGTCTTATGCGGTCTATCAACTGTCTGGTTACCAACATTCTTCAAAATATCTTCTTTTGTGTTCAGAAGAAATGAATTAATACATGTTTGAAACAACACTAGGAATAATAAATGATGACAGAAGTTTATTTTTTAGCTTAACTATACCTTTTAATGGCCTCATAGTGTAGGACAAACCAGTACACCCATGTATAAACAGTGTGCACACACTGCTTTACAGCAATATACAAATCTTAAGTTTTTCTATAGCTGAAAATAAATGTTTTGGCCTCCTACTCTACGACAACCATTTTCTGTAACCAGAGATATGCAACTTTTCTACCCCTCAAAAAAATCACCCACCTATCAACATTTGTGCCAATTAATAAATAAAGTCCACTTCATGCTGCTGTCCTTTTTCACTGGAGAGCCTAGCAAAGTACCAGAGAATCTTTTCCCTTGCTGCCATGATACATGCACTGACTGAATAAAGGGCCAGTCATGTGACTGTATCTATGGTAACCGTCGAGGCAGTGTGCTGCAGGACAGTTAGGAGTCTTGAAGAGAAAGAGAGAGCAACCGGTCTGTGATAGAGGAGAGGACAGAAAATTATGAATGTTGGAAATGCTAGACATTTCCAGCAATAACTAATAGGAATACATTTCAGCTCCCCTCCTCTCAATCTGAACTCTCGTTCTCTGCAGTTTCCAATATTACTTTTTAAGCTATTGCATTACCAAAACAGCGGGAAACCTTCTGAAAAACAGCCTTCCACTTAGTGTTTGCTTATCCTCTGCTTAGTGTTTGACTGCTTTGCATGTCAAGTCATTCTTCCTTTTAATCACTAGAAAAGGTCAAAGTAAAGGGCCCCACCTTTACACTTTCATATGACTCTCACATGCATGGCGAACTGTGAATAAATTCCTGTTTCAACTCAAGAAGCTGCCCCCAGAGCTTGTTTACCCTGGGAAACCTTCACGTGACTGCACAGTATGTGCTCGTGGTCCTGTCGCTGACTGCTGCTGCTTCCTGTTAGGAAGCCCTGCTCCTCTCGGGACTCAAACTTCCTGTGATACAACCAAAAAGGCATTCCAGGGACAGGAAATGCTGAGGAACACCAGGGTTTGTCAAAGGAATCAATGGGGCAATCTTTGTCAAACCCAGGTTCAAAAGTTGCTATTAATAAACAAAAAAAATGTAAAAAAAAAAATGTATCTAAAAGAATATATTTATTTTAATTATTAAAAAAAGTCAAAGCATTTAAATTCAAAACATTTATTTTTAACATTCTGTTTAATCATATTTTTGTATTTTATTTATTATTAAGGACTTAATTTTTTAATAAATTAATAATTTATTATTAATTATATAATTTAAAATTATTAAACTTCTGAGGAATGCTAAATGTTTGGAAAAAAATTTTTGAAGGATATTTTTGGTCAGTAGAATATTATGCAAAACTATTATACATCTACATTTCTTTAAAGTCTGGATGAAATTAAAACACTAATGCATATTACAGATTTCATTGTGAACAATTCATTAGTGAATTGTGAATATATTTAATTAATATATATATATATATATATATATATATATTAAAAATTTGAAATGTTTAATCAAAATGTCATAGCTTCATCTTCCGGTAAAAACAACAGACTTAAGACATTTAAAAATTCAATCAACCACCAATAGATTGATCAATTTACCGACATTCTTCAAAATCTCTTCTTTTGTGTTCAGCAGAAGAAAGAATTTCATATAGGTTTATAACAACTGCAAGATGTGTTTTTCACTTTTTCTCTCATTAAAAAAAAGGAAATGGTACTTCTGAGTTTAAAATAAAAACATAACATAATAACAAAATAAATTACTGAGTGCACCAATAACCAAAACTAAGACACTAACAACACAAATATGTAAAATATTTTTATTACAAACATGATAAAACTTAGTTCAAACAGGTCTGATCACAACATTGATCAGTGGAACATCTGGTAGTGGGTTTGGAGTTTAGTTTAATTCGCTGCTTTACCATTGGCTCACAGCATGATGGTCTGTGTCACGTGTTGAATCTGTGTCTGAACTTCTGAAGCGTTAGGTGGTTTTGGCTACCTGTCGGAAGAGAGAGTTCTTCAAACAAGTGCAGAGCTGGTTCATCAGATCTTTATTTTGCCCCTCCACCCAATGCATCTCCACCACCACATCATTCTCTTCTTCCTTCACGTTCAGCAGGCACTTGAAGAGAAAGTGCTGTGCCGTCTCTGGGTTTTGAGGGTCGCCAACAGCCACTTCACTGGGTTCGGTGGGAGACTCCATAGGGACTTCGACACCTGTCTCCGGGTTGTGCTCCTTCCCGTTGCTGCCCTCTGCTGTGGTTTCCTCTGGAGCTGGAACAGATGGAGTGGAGGTATCCGAGGCGGAGGCCGGTTGCGCTCTGGGGAGCTCGCGTAGATGTCGTCCCTGTTCTCGTCTCTTCTGCCGTGTGTGAACCCAGGTGTTCTCCACTGCTGTCAGGAAGAGGCTGAGCTCCGCCTCGCCACAAGGAACTCGCTTGTGAAGTATCTGAAGATGGGAAGTTCAGTGTTAAACAATTGTCTCAACCACTGTCCATCTGGAAAACCCACAGCGAGTTGATTTGCAGACGTTCATTGTTACTTCACAGTGCATTAATGTTAACAAATACAACTTTTGATTTTAACAATGTATTAGTAAATGTTGAAATTAACTAACTAAGAATAATAAATACTGTAGAAGTATTGTTCATTCTTAGTTAATGTTAATTAATGAAACCTTACTGTAAAGTGTTACCACTAATCCCTTATAAAATAAATGGAAACACAGCGATGTTTGAAATTGACTCTCTGTTCACCTTCAGGTCTGTGAGGATGTTCTCCAGCCAGGCACACACACACTCTGTGGGGCTGACGTCAGTGCAGCCGATGCTGGGCGCCTGCGCCTGTAGCTCATCCACGGAGGGCTTCAGTACAGTGAAGATGAGGGGCTTACGGGCCTTGTCCAGCTTCCGCTTCTTACAGGGGGGCGACTGAGAGATGTTTAGAAACAAAATTAGTTTTTGTTAGTTAACCTAAGAGTGTTTACACCTCATGTAAGAGGGCTGCGGCTTTAGAACTACCACACGAAAAAGATGCAATTTTACTTCAAGAATAGCTGGTTGTCAATAGAGGGCAGCAAAACACAAAGTTCACCTTGGCCTTGAGTTCAATAAACAATACTGTAGACTCCTTGTGGATCTCGTGTTTGTCTGCTGCTGTCAGATGAATAGCACACAATTTCACGACAAACTCATCGATCCCACAATGACAACCCATTAACCCAAACTTGTTTGTGTTTTTTATATAAGTGTTATTGCTAATTAAAACTCCATTAATTGAAATAAAGCTGAAATAAAATAAGTATATTAGAAAAAGTTGAAGTACTAAAATTAGAACTGCAATAGAAACAAATTAAAGATAAATAGAAAAACAAACTCTAAAACTCACAAAAAGTACATAAAAATACTAAAACAAAAATATAAAAATTAAAGCTAGTCCAAAATATTAATAAATACTCTGACAGTATATAAATAATACTAAAATAACACTATTATTATTTAAGTTTGAGACTAGTGTAAAACATTAATTTCTTAGTAATTCATTAAAGATTACAATATGATGAAAGTGCCGATTTCTCTGTAAAAATCAACCAAATTGGCTTCTACTTTACCAGTCTCCATGTATTTCTGATTCAAATGCCACTGAGTGTTACCTGATGTCCGTTTTTTCTTTCGCATATTATGCAAACAAATATATAAGAATAAATAAATGCAGTAAATAAGTGTCATCAACAAAGCCGCCCATTAAATTTGGCATTATACGTGTTGCCATAGAAACAAATCATTTGCATCTGAACAGCTCAGAAAATGAGTTATCTTGGAGTCAATCATGATGGATACAACCACTGAATCATGTTGAACTGAGACATGCCACTACACACAGGCGCATTAAACGTGCTGGCAGTCATATTAGACTTTTCCGGCTCATCAAAGCTGATTTACGAGCTGAAGAAACCAAAGCATTGCTCCAGTCACATGTCTCTCTCCTCTAACAGAGCATCTGTTGTAAGAGCAGATAAACGGACAACATGACTCACCACAAGCCAATAGAACGATCCCCTCGGTGCCGAAAAACACATCACACCACACCCATCATCGACTACTGCAGTCATCCATCAGAGTTTACAACTCGCCAGACAAACACCTCTCATATTTAGTCCTCCTGTGGGTGACCTTTTATTAGACAGATCCATTGTTTCGTGC